TATGCCTCAATTTTTCAACCTGCAAAATGTATTGCACCTGTATTGTTTCACTTTATTGCTGAGAAAAATGAGTAGTTCATTAACTTTCTCTCATAAAGCATGGGTGAGAGATGGTATATTCAAGTTATTCAAAAGTCAATACAGGCAGGCTGGCCCGTGGCTCACTTGGGAGAGTCTGGTGCTGATGACACCAAGGCCACGGGTTCGGATCCCTATATAGGGATGGCTGGTTGGCTCACTTGGGAGAGCGTGGTGCTGACAACACCAGGTCAGGGGTTAGGATCCCCTTACGGGTCATCTTTAAAAAAAAAAAAGTTAATACAGACAACACATATTTAGTATTAATAATTAGTAATAATACCTTTGAGTGATGCCTTAGTTTTCAAAGCACTTTCCCACACAATACTCATTTTTTGTTTGTTTTTTTGGCAGCTGGCCAGTAAGGGGACCCGAATCCATGACCTTTATGTTATCAGCATAGCTCTCCCAAGTGAGATAATTGGCCAGCCCAATACTCATTTTTTCTTCCTCTGACTCCATAACATAGGAGGGTGTGTGTTATTCTCACTTTCAGAAGATGAAAGTGAGAGCCAGGGTTAATATATAGTACAACTGGGACTAGGGCCTAGATCTTCTTACTCCAAGTTAGTATTCTTTCCAGTTAACTGTGTTAACGTTCTAACCTGTAAAGAATTAAAATAATAGAGCACATATATTAAAACAATTTAAATAAAATTTACTCTCTTTGGATGATTCAGAACATATCATAGGTTTGTATATAGAATTATATTTGTAAGTTAGGGTCATCAGTATAAATATCAGTCATCTCCATAGCATTAAGTGCAGATAAGATGATTAATAAAGCTGTCCAGTTAACCCAAGTTTACCTCTATTGCAGTTCAGTTTGACGATTATGGAATTTTTTCACTTCAAGGAAGTCATAAATTACCCATATGGTCTGAAAACTAGAATTAATGTCTAGTTAAAATTACTTTGTTCTTCATGGCTATAGACCATACCTGAGCTCTGCTGCCTTTAATAAAAAATAGGAATTTAATACAAACACACACATACCACACACACTGGAGGGCAGATTAAATGAAATGCCCCTGTAAAGAACTTAGTAGTGTGCCTTCCAGTACATGGTAGCTATATAACAGAAAAATAATGGGGGAAAAAAAGAGTTGGTGACATCTTCACCATAACAAAAAGAAAAGTAATCTTTGACAAAACAAAGCAGAAACATTATCAACTTGCACTTTAAAAAATGTTTAATATAAAATATGAAAATGCTTTTTTGTTTCTATGATTATAAAAGCAATTCATGCTTATTAAAGAAAATAAAAATCATCCATAATGCCACCACACATACATTATCACTGTTAATATTCCTGGTGTACATCCCTCCAAAGTTTTACACATACACACACACACACACACACACACACACACACAGGCACGTTTTGTGTACAGGTTTTAGAAAATGAGATCAATCAGCTCAATTAAAAAAATGATAATAATGAGTAGCTCACTCAATAGTAAACTAGTTTCTTTTGGGATGTGTTGCTCCTCTTTCCATGTAAATTCTAAACACCACTATCATAATTTAACCAATTACATTATTCCCAAATTTTCCTATTGCAAACAATGCTACGGTAAACACTGAAACATCTTTGCTTAATTGGAGGACAAGACATACACATTTAAAACTTTGATATGCATTGGCACCCTGCTTTCTAGAAAAAGTGGACCAATTTACAGTCTTACTAATAGTGTATTAAAGTGCTTGTATTCTCATTCCCTTGCCTATGCAGGTTTGGTTTGAAATAAAATCCTCCTTTTACTACCATTAATAGTGAAAGGCTTTAGGATCAATTAAAAAACAACAGGTATTTCACTCAGGTTAAGAAGAAAGTACATGAGGAAAACAAAACAAACAACAAATGGTTGAGGGGGAAAACGTCGGGATCCAAGTCCTTAGAAATTCCCATTCAATTGGGAGCTGGGTTTTTCATCATTCCGTTCACTCCTCCTCACCACTTGTTTGTTTTTGTTTTATTTCTCAGTCATCATCTGTGGTGAAAAGGCAAGGAAGGGAACAGTATGACAACAAGGAAAACACACGCCTCCAACCAAACACCTCTGTGTCTGACAATTGAGTGCCAGCTCCCATGGATCCACCACTGCACCGTGCTCTACTGAGTGAGTGCTTCACAAAAATAAAAAACAAGAGTTTCAAATGTTTCACCTCCAAAATGATGACTGAACTGTTTGCTCTGACTTCTGCAGCCATTGGCCAATTTTCATATAAATCAGTATCAATGATGATTTAATATAATCGAAACCTCAAATTATTTCAACCAAACACACCAAATGTGGCAAAGCAGGAAAAAATACCCATCACAGAAGAGGAGTGTACCTAACATAGTATTCTAAACCAGAGGCTTAGTCAGCTTCAGATGTATTTTATATCTGAGATAGAGTAGATTCTTTACAGCAATCAGATGAAAAAAATCCACCTACGTTTACTTTAGCCTGTGAAAATGGCCTTAGGGACAGAATGACAGCAACTATAAAAGCACAGTAAAAAAAAATTTCGGGGGGCCGGCCCGGTGGCGCACTGCTAGTGCGCCACTTGGGAGTGCGGTGGCGCTCCCGCCGAGGGTTTGGATCCCACATACAGACCGGTTCCCGCTCACTGGCTGAGCGAGGTACGGGCCCAACACCGAGGGTTGCGATCCTGTTGCCGTCCCGGTCCAGTATGGGCGCAACACTGAGGGTTGCGATCCGTTGCTGGACACGAAAAAAGACAAAAAGGAAAAAAAAAAAATTTTTCGATAATGCTTTCCTTTTTGAACCATTATTTAGAGATCCTTCAAGTGTCCACAGAAAGATCTATGACTCCAATGATCAAAAGATCACAATTTAGCTTTATATTTATAAAACGGAGTATTACTTCAGACTAAGTTGCTGGTTCAGACTTAATAAGAAAGAAAAGTGCCACCTCATGAGCATCAACATCCATCCTGAGTGAACACCTGCCCAGCGGACTTGCAATCCAGTTATCCACGACCATACTTAATTCATTTTGCTGTAACCCTTAGGTCATTTACCAAACAGATACTGTTATTCAGATGACATGTTATTTTAGGTGCTGGGCAGCTATGCTGAACAGCAGTTAAGAACAGAAACTAAGTTCCTGTTCTCAAATTGTAGCTGGAGAAACAGACCACAAACAAGTAGAAGAGTTAATAAATAAGATAATCTCAGGTAGTGATAGGTGCTACAGAGACAATCAACGCAGGGAATGTATTAGTCAGTGACTTGGTGAGGAGGAGAAAGCTGTATTAGATGGGATAATTAAAAAAGGCTTGTCTCAGGAGGTAATATTCAAGCTAGACTTTGAATAAGATAAAGTCAATCGTTCAATGATCTGGGAGAACAAGTTTCCGGCAAAGGTTTTGCAAAAGCGAAAGAAAGGGCTTGGGGTGTTTGACGAAAAGAGAATCAGTGTGGCTGGAGTAGAGTCGCGGATGGGGAGAACACATCTCTTGTTGAGGTTGGAAAAGGCAAGTTTATATAGGGCCTCCACAGCCATGGGAGAGTCTAAATTTGATTCTAGGAATAGCGGAAAGCCTTTAAAGGGCTTAAGTAAGGAAGTGATATGACCTAATTTAAATTTTTTAAAAAAATTTGTATGATAGCTGAAGGCTTGGGCTATGGTGGTGATAGTAATTGAGAAGAATGGTCACACTCAAAATACATTTTGGAGGTGAACTGACATAAGTCACAGCTGATAAATTAGATGGCAGGGGTCGGGGAGAAAGACAGGGAAATAAGGATTACTCCTATGCTGGGACTTGAGCAACAGACGGACAGTGGTGCCATTAACTGATACGGCCAACACTGGGGGAGGAACAGATTTGGAGTGGAGAGTGGGGATAACCCAAGGTTCTGTTTTGGGCTTGTTAGGTACTGGACATCTAATAGTGATTATAAGCTAGGGTATAAACGGAATATAGGTGGGATATAAAACCCACAGGACAGGATAAGATGACTTAGAGAGAAACAGGATAAGATTTCTTGGAGAGAAAGTTAGAGTGGAGGGCTAAAGCCTGAGTGTTGGGACACACCAATATAAATCAGGTGAGAAGAGGAGCCAGAAGGCCTGAGAGAGAGCACGCACTGAGGTAGGAGGATATGCAGGAAAGTGTGGGGTCACAGACACCAAGAGAAGAAAATGTTTTAAGAAAGCAGGAGTAATCAACTGTTAAATGCTGCTGGAAGACTGAATAAGATAAAAAAGGAAAACTGACAGTTGGATTTAGCAAGACAGAAGTACTCATACATTAATAAAGAAATAAGGTGGGAAAATGCTATAAAAAAGTTGTTAGATCTTTTAAGCTATCACTTTTTAAAGCTAAAGAAAAAAGGAACAATCTCAGCAAAATTACTGAATTATGCTGATTTATCAGACTAAGTACATTTTGACTTCCCTTCTCAAAGGAAGAGAGGGGGAATCAATGACTCAGGAGGGAGTCATTCTGAATTTTACGTTCTTATTCCTTGGGGAGGGGAGATTTACTTGGCAATAATGTGGTGGTATTCAGAATTCACATAGAAAGAGGAGCAGCTCAGCCCAAAAGACACCAAAAGTTTACTTGCCCTGCTTGGTTATGATTCATCAAACTCCTAACATTCTCCTGTTCAAACCAACCCCAAGCTAAAAGTTCTTTATCCAACCTCAAGGCCCAAGTGGAAGGAAGAAAATGCCAAAAGGAGGAGGAGACCATATCAATGCCCTTGGTTGGGAGCCTTCTTCTGGCACTACAATGTCTTTTTCTGTTTCTGTTAGGCTGCTACTGTTTCACTACCAGACTCCAGTCTGCATCTCACTCTCTGGTCCTATCACTGAGGACAAAACTAGGAAAAGTGATCAGAGGCCCGCCCATATCAGTGCCACTTGTCTTTGCATCTCCTCCTCACTTCCCGCCCCTTACCTGGGTCATTTTGTCCACAGAGACTGGAATTCCATCGATGGTGAGAGGTGGCAGTTCTGAGTTAACCTCCTGCGGCGCAGGGGCGTGTTCTGCCAGAGCAGACTCCAGGTCTTCCAAAATCATACTCTTGTACTTACGCACCTGCAGGGAATTAAGAGCAGAAGTAAACAAGATGCCCAACAACCAGGGAGGATTGGTGCCCAGCAACAAGAGAGTGGGTGGGGCTGGCCTCCCTGAGCCATTGCAGAGCCCTAAAAACAAACACTTCTACAACCAGCAGGTAAAAATACCCACTGGCCCCAAAGACATCACACTGAACAGAATTAAATGAGAAGATGATGAAATTACAGGTAATAAGAGTAGAAAGGAGCCAGTGGAAAAAGCTTTACAGAAATACTGCTTCTCAGTTAAAATCAGGTTCTCTCAGTCAAAACAGGAACCATCACCTGTTCCAGATCTATCAGGAATGACATTCATTATTCCATATTTCCCAAGCATTTCATAAACACTTAGCTCTGGCAATTAGTTGGCAAAGTCATTTTCAAAATCCTCAATCTCAAGGACTTATGTCTCTAAAACCCTAAGTAACCTATTTGAAACTGCTGCTACTTTCCTGCAAAGCCAGACTACCAAACAGACAGGAGATTCAAGTGCACAAGAGGCTGGACTGAAAAGAATCAGAGAAAAAAATGAGGTATAAATTGTAGCCGAGTGTCAAAGGTGCCACTACCAGTAAAGCCCGGAACCAGAGAGAGCCTCATGGGTCAAATACTCCTCCCTTCTGGTACTCTGTGGTGAAAGAGGTGAACTTCAAATGCATGATGCCTCTGTAGCTCTAGCTCAGGTGTGAACCAGATATTATTTTCTTCGACTCCATTCCTCGCTACTGCCAATGAAACATCTCTCAAAAGACAGAGAACTTAACATGCATACATTCTTCTATCATGAGCAGAAAGAGTAGACAGACATTGGATCCTATAACCATCAATAACGGGCTCGTTCATTTAGAAGAGTACACAAGGGGGATGAATACACAAGGGGGATAACAAAGAAGCCATGGAATTATAGAAATGTGACAAGATGGGATAGGAAACTAACTTGCTTTCAGGGCTTGAGGTATCATCATAGGGAAAAAAAGGGAAGAGAAAATTACATTTGCCCAGAGGTTCCCACAATGTTTGAGTCCTGGGTTTTCTGCTAAGTGGGCTGGACTCTCAGAAAGATTTCCATACACCACCCCAAGCATCTAGAAAAGCAAATTCTGTTGGCTATGCAGTGCAACTTGTGCAGTTAAAGAATCTTCCAAATATGCAAATAACTGAGATGAAAGAAAAATAGCACAAACTCATAGACTCATTCTCACTCTAGAGATTCAGTTTTATCCTGGTTTTTAATAAAAAAGAAAGTTTCAAAAATTATTGCCATTATATTTATTGTAACATAAGCAACTGGTGCTGCCATGGCAACTTTACAGGATTATATTTTCTGCTTTCCATGTTTATGTATTCTATGGAGAGTTTTTATGCTACCAACCCAAAGAAAAAACTGAATCTTAGAGAAGCCTATTAATGTATCAGGTTTTAACCCTAATATATCTCCTTATATTAGGTGCAGGCTTATAGTAAAAATGACATTTTAAAACAAGTTTTGTTGTGCTGGTAATGCCTGGCATTTGAAGACGGGAAATCATTAGGTTAGTACTACAGCCAGTTTCAGACAATTTCAGCCATTTTTATTTGTCAGTAAAATTCTAGGAATTCATATCTAGGTAATTTGCTAAACTTATCAGTGCCATTCCTTAAAAATACCTTGAATTTTTTTTTTTTTAAATGCTGGTAGAGCATCCCCCCTCAGAGTAACTTGTGACAAAATAACTTCAGATGTGACCACAGCAATTCTAACTAGGCTTGCTTAGTAAAGTTACTTTCCCCAAATTTTAAAGCTAGTGTTTCAATTCTATCTGATCTATCAATTCTGAGATGTTTTTTATTCCCCACATTTATCAGTCCTTTGAAATTGGGATACATCCCCAAACTGCTGTAGACCAGGCAGCAAAGGGGCATAGCTGTCACTGCACATATGTGAACATATTTGTTATCCCTGGGGTCATGACTGCAACCCCTTGCCTTTTCAGTCAACAAATCATTTTGCACCATTTGAGAAAGGAATAGGAGTCTTTTCTATTGAATGACAGCCTTCCCAATGACAATTTTGGGTAAGATCAAGAAGCACCTGTATCAAATTTGTTGCAGCTTAGGGAAAAAAAATCTCAGACACAACGGCAGAGCACTTTTTAAAGAAATGCAGCAGTGTTCATGCTCTTGATGGCACACAGATCAATATTACATGAAAAAACACAGAAAACAAAGACTGAAACAAGAAGTAATTGAAAAGAGTTGGGCTCTGAATGTGAAGAAGTTTTAAGAATATCTTAATTTATTTCATTTATATTTTCCTTTTTATGTACACACAAAAGTGATACATGATTAAAAGCTACATCTAAGTAAGCCTGAAAGAGCACTTTCAACAAGTATAATATAAAAAGCCTTAGTGATAAGCATTGTGTCAGAGTTTGTCAATGTTTTTTCTTTCTCTTTATTACACATATAACAGTGTGTCTTATAAATAATGGTGTCATAGATATAATAAAATAGAGGTTTGTGTTCCAACTTCTGCCTTCTAGCCCAAAAACCACAGCTCAAGCCTTTGTCACTTCACACCAATATATCAACTAACTGGTTTCACAATTAAGTCAAGAACCACTTAAAATCAAAATCAGCTACCAATTTACTTTCCTCCAATTCATTCTGTATGCCACTGCTATTTAAAATTTCTGAAGCACTTGTTAGCATCAAATACCATTTACTGAGCACTTACCATGTACCTAGCACTATATACATTGTCTCAATTAATCCTTACAATAATTCTATAAGGTAAATACTATTATACCCATTTTGCAGATAAGAAAGCTGAGGCTTAATAAACTTAAGTAACTTTTCCCAAATCATATAGCTAGTAAGCAGAAAAACTGGAAATCAAACTAATTTTTATCTAGCTCCAAAGCCCATATGTTCAGACACTTCACTGTCATTTTTCCCCCTCAAATAACTCCTCTACTTCCCCATATCTTATAGGATGAAGTCCTAGCTTCTTAGTCCAGCATTTCAATCTTTCCAATCATTCTCTACTTTTCCAATACTACTCTGCCAGGGCTACCAGATACAGTTGTGCCTGTTCAACCCTGTAGATAATGTGAATGGTACTCTCTTGAGTTCCCAGTATACAACCCATGGAGTCCTAATGGGCAAGTGAATGACTTAGAACAAGAAATCAAGACCAACTCCAGAGCCCACTTATCTAGGGGAAGGCAGAAGGACAATTTCTATGAAGCTGGTGATAATCCCAGACCTGCTTCTTGCCTCTGTGACTGTGAATGATTTCTGTACCTGTAAAACTGGTTAATCATATCCAGTGTGTCCCCATCTAAATGCTATGGATGACTGACTCTGAGGAAAGAGTTTCTTCAGAAACTCTCATGGTTCTATAGAAAAAAAATAGAAATTTTCTCTCTGTTCCTCAACAAAATACTTCTAGGCCATTTCCTACATAGTTCGTTAAAGTATATGGTATGGCAGTAAGCCACCAAGAGGATGCCCTCAAGACATAGCAACTTTAAAATCTACCATTTGCCAATACTTTTCATGCCAGCTCTCCCTAAATGTTATAAAGAGGGGGATGATAACCAACTTTAATTTCTACTGCTCCCCAGTGAGGTAGGTATTATCATCCTTATTTTATACTTGAGAACTTTGAGTCACAGACAGGAAAAATCAACGTGGAAAACCATTTTAAAAAAATCAAAGCTTAAAAACAATTTCACAAAACTGATATTTTTAGTTACATATGCCCATTCTAGTTAATACCAACCCATGGGCAAGACTGAATTAGCCTGTCTAAATGTTGATAACTGTTTTACTATGGGAGCCAACCCTTCACTAAGAATGATATTCAAAAGGACTGAAACACTCAGTGGAGTTGTTCTGGAGGTCTTTTAACTTTCAAAGAACAGAGGCTTAAAAAGACAAAAGATTTAGGGCCGGCCCGTGGCTCACTCGGTAGAGTGCGGTGCTGATAACACCAAGGCCCCGGGTTTGGATCCCACATAGGGATGGCCGGTTCGCTCACTGGCTGAGCGTGGTGCTGACAACACCAAGTAAAGGGTTAAGATCCCCTTACCGGTCATCAGTAAAAAAAAAAAAAAAGACAAAAGATTTAAACTGCAGAAGACATTAGACCTGGAGGTAGTGGATCCCAAGAAACTTAGACAAACCTTGAGTTTCTGGGTAAGGGATCTTCATTCTCCATCATATTAAAAGACTCTTTCTGAGAGTTCAGCTAATTTTGACTTATTTTCTCACTACCCATGTTACAAATATAAACGATATGGATAGTCTATGAATCTGATAGTTCTTCCATCTAGCTATCCATTCAACAACTATTATTTACCTACTGTATTCTAGGCACTGTGCTAAGGAAGGACTGAGGACAAAATGGTGAGCAAATTTATCAGTCACAGTGCCCTATTATCGTTCACATTCCAATCTTGTAGGGAAGACAAACAAAAAAATAATTACAAAGATAAATATATAATTATAAGTTGGCACAAGTAACTACAAAGGATGAAACATCCCAACTTCATAGAACTTTACTTTTCATGGTCTCAGTTTAGATCCAATGTAAGATTAGGATTTGGAAACCAACTCTGCATTTTTAAATTTCTGAGTGCTGCCAAATGTTTAAGATGCTTTATTCATTCAACAAATATTACTGAGCAACTATTCACAGCAAGCATACTGCTTGGCACCGATAGCATAATGGAGAGCAAAGCAGATACAGTTCCTACCATCTTGGAGTTTACCATCTAGCTGAGGACAGAAATCATCACACAAATAAATAACAGTGCATCTGTAATAAGTGCTCAGTGGTGCTCTGAGCCTTGGATGGAATAGGGCTTTGACCTGCTTCTGGAGGTTAGAGAAAGCTTCAAGTAGGAAGTGCTGACTGAATTGAGTTCTTAAATAGGAATAAAAGTCAATGAGGTGAAGAAGGAGATAAGAGAGAGCATACACACAAAAGCACTT